GGCCCCGAGTTCTAACTCCAGCACAACAAAATTAAACTGATGGTAATAACACTGGACAGTCAGGGTGGAGACGATGGAGCCGGCTTTGGAAAGAAAAATCTGGGTAGGTCAGGGAGGCAAAGGAAACGGGGAGCCTCCTCCCTGAGGAAGGCGCTCAATCCACAGTCACAGGAACACCCTCCAGAATATTCAAAATATATCAGAGAGAAACTATGATGTGGGGGTGTTTCCAGATTTTGGAGAGCTCTTTCTAGAGATGGTTTCTAGGTTCTTTCTGCCCTGAGCTAAAAACTTGTCCAGAAAAGCTCAAATGATAGCAAAGTTTTACCAAATATTGAAAAAAAAAAAAACACCAGGCTGTGCTGACTGAATTTGGCCAGTAAAAGCAGGAAAGGGAGTATACCCTATAGTCTGAGGGTGGGCATCCAGGAAAGAGGTCACATAGTGGCACACAGTGTGGACTGTCCTTTGGGTATCATCCCCTCACCGGTGTCAGGTCCGGACAACCTGGGGAAACCAAAAACCCACTGGACTACTCAGAAGTCTTCACACAGGTCCTTGGGAAGTGTTCTGCGCCTGTGTTCTGGGGTTTCTGCAATTAATAGATCCCCCCTACTTCTCCAGCCAACGTTGTCACATCCTATGGTGGGGTGTGCAGGAGGTGCCTTCGTCTTGGGGTACTGTGACCAGCAGCATCACAGAGCTAGCAACTGTCTATTCAGAAAAGAAGTCAATAATTCTTTTTTTTTTTAAATTTCATTTATTTGTGTGTGTGTGTGTGTGTGTGTGTGTGTGGCCAGCTCAGCCCACCAGGGGGCGGGGCTGGCTGGCATGTGGTGCTGGGGGATTGAACCATGGTCCCTGTGCTTTGCTAAGCTTGTTCTAAGTAGGTGCTTTAGACCACTGAGCCATCTCACCAGCCCTCAATACTTCTTTTGTATAAAATTTTGTAAAAAAATTTGTATAAATTTTTGTAAAAAAATTGTATAAATTTTTGTAAAAAAAATTTGTATAAATTTTTGTAAAAAAATTTTGTATAAAAATTTTATAAAAATATTTTGTAAATATTATTTTGTAAAAAATAATACTGCATGTTGAGACACTAAGAGTTCCTCAAGTATTATAATGGTATTGTGCTTACATTTTCACAGAAAGAGTCTTTTTTCTTAGAGATACATACTAGAGTATATATTTTGGGAGGAAATGACCCATCTGGACTTGCTTTAAAATAACCCAGAGGGGACAAGGAGGGAATAGACTTGAAAAAAATTGACAATGAGTGCTGAAAAAAGATGAAATGATGACAAGTTTAGCTTAAAGGTTTAATTGAATTTTTCTACAAACCAAACTGTATCCAGCTTTATTAAAAATAATTTGTGTGAATATCATGCCTGACCCAGGGGAGGCCTTTTTAGCAACACAGAAAACCACTGAGGGGTCACGCTGTCCTCAATGCACAGAGCAGGAGGCCGTGAAGAAAAGACCGGCTGAGACGCACAGTGTCCTGGTCACTGAAGAGTGAGTCATACCTGCACGCCTGCACCGACCATCCTGAGACACTGGAGCACATCCATTGCACACCGCCTACATTCCTTAGGATAGCAACTCCCTTCCCAAACCCTATAAAGTTCTGCCTCTGCCCTGGCTGAGGGTTGACATCCTCCCCCAGCTCTGCCCCTCTGCAGCCAGATGGAGTCAACCAGCCTGGTTGCTAACACAAAAGCCTGTTGGGCTGATCTCAAATGCACCATTTTTCACAGTAAACAATCCCAGTATTTCGGGAAGGACCTGGGCACACAGTTGTTAATAGTATACAAGAACTTTCCAACTCGCTTCTTAGATGGACCACCAAAACTCAGAAACTCACTACAAAATCCAGTGGAGTCTCCATTTCATGGAGTAGGGGAAGATAATTTATTTATTTTTATTTATGTATTTATTTTTGTAGGGAATGTTTAGAGTGAGGGCTGACATTTCACTTTTAGTATGTTGTTTAACAACTTGCTATAAGCTGCCCCTTTTCAGGACATAAAATGAGGATGGCAGAATCATCCATCTGAAGATCCACAATCTAGAAAAAGAAATCATTGCTCTTCTGCGACACCATCTCAGCGTCACCAGCAAGTTCAGAGACCCAGCACACTGTAGGGATCCATTGGTCTCTTGGTGTGATCTGTTGTACCCGTGGAGAAATGTGACAAAAATGGAGCAGAAGAGCTGGGTCAGGTGGTAGTCCGTCTCCCTGGTTAATGAGACAACCCCCAGAAGAACAGTATACATGCTTATTTATGCCTTTACAAATTTGCAAGACACAAGGTTCTCTGGTGAATAATAACCCACAGTGTCCAGGTAGGATGTTTCTTTAAGGCTGAAGTAGCCTGAGTGCTTTAGACAGGAGGCCTCATCCTGCCCTCCCACATAGGATCAACCTTTTGCTTTAGCAGCTCCCAACAACACCCTGATAACATCAACTTTTGGGAGTCAGGTCCCAGTAGGTGTCTGGGCTTGAGGGGTTGAAGTCTGTGCTGAGGGCAGAGAAGAAGAGGGGGACATAAAATGAACCAGGAGTTGTCCCACCCTACACAGCATTCATGCCAAGGTGGTCCCATGAGTCTACATCAGGGAGTCCTTCCTCCTGGGAGCCAGGAGGGAGTCTCTCAAAACTAGCAAGGGACGCTACTTTCCCCACTTCAATCCAACATTGAAAACACTGCATTTGGGACACATACTCCTTCCTTAAAAATAGTGTTCTGTGTACTCACAATGTAGCTTAAATGATTAAAGCACAATTCTGCATTATTACAGATCTTGAGAAAAATAATGCTTCAAATTGTATAATCACCAGAAGTATACTTATCAAAAAATGGGCGCACTACACTCAGGGTCCCCAGCCTCCTCCTGGCTGGGCCTCTGCATTTTCTGCAGGGCTATCCTGTCCTCCTGGCATCAGCTTGTACCTCTCCCCCTTAGCTACCTTCTCTGCCTTCTTTGTAGGGAATCCATGCCAGTGAAGGCATGGGCTCTGGCTTTGGAGGAACTGGCTTAACAGAGAACCTTGAGGATCTTTCTAGAAAAGTTCATCCTTCACCTTGCCTTTGTTACCTTCCGTGTCCTCTTCTGCTTTTCACTTGTGCATTGTGCCCACGTACACAGGCGCGGGACACAGTGGCCCTGGATATTGTTGCTCTAGGGAGTCTTCTTGCCTCTTATTCCCTCATGGCTTTCAATTTTGATTCTGGAATTGGACAATGTCTCACTCTATAGCACAGGAGTGTCTAGTCGGTTGAGAAGAAGGTGTTACATTCTAGGCAGAAAAAACCTAAAGAAGCCAGTGGAGCTAGTACACACCATAATCCGAGGACTTGGGAGGCTGAGGCAGGAGGAACACTGCAAGTTCAATGGGGATCTGGGCTACACAGTGAGTCCACAACCAGCCTGAACTCCACTGGGAGACAGTCTCATTTAAAAAAAAAAAAAAAAAAAAAAAAAAGCAACACAAAAAACAAAACAACCCCAGTACCGCAAAAACCAAAACAAAACACCCTACAAGAAGCAAAACAGAAATCCCAAATTTCTCTAGTGGACTCCAGAATGCCCTCTAGGAGAGAACTGTTTACACACACTATACCTGGTCAGGGCCTGCAGATACACTTCACGCTTTCTTTCTTTCTTTTTCTTTTCTTTTTTTTTTTTTTTTGGTAGTACCGAGAACTGAATCCAGGCCTTTGCACTGAGTTACACCTCCATATCCTTTCCCCAAATTTTATTTCCATTTTGAAACAGGATCTCACCAGTTCACAAAGTTGCCCATGCTAGCGTTGAGCTTCAGATCCTCCTGTCTCAGCCTCCCAGAGTGCTAGGATTACATGTGTGTGACACAAGACCCGGGTTGCTATGCCTTCATCTCCTCCTCGTCCTCCTCCTCTTCGCCTAGCTCTTTAGCTCTTCCTCCTCCTCCTCCTCTTCCTCCTCCTCCTTCTCCTCCTCCTCCTCCTCC